ACAATTCTTATCCTGTGACATTCTGGTTTATCAATCAGTCTCTTGAGAGGTGGCTTACACAATAGAGATTTATTCTCACAGATCTAAGGACTAGAAATTAAAAATTCAGGTGTTGGCAGGTTGGTTCATTCTGAGTGCGGTGAGAAAAGAATCTATTCCAGGCCTCTCTCCTCAGCTTGGAGAGCCAAGCTATCTTCCTGTATCCCTTCACACAGCCTTTCCTCTATATGTATTGGTGTCCGAATTTCCCCTTTTCATAAGGGCATTAGTCATACTGGATTATGATGTACCATAACCTCAATTTAACTTGATTATCTCTATAGAGACCTGTCTCCAAATAAAGTCACATTCTGAGGTATTGGGGCTTAGGACTTCAACATATGAATTTTAAGGGGGACACAATTTAACTCAGAGAGGAGAGATATTGGGGGACAAACAGCAGTCTCTGCCATAATGCCCATCTTGTGTCTGAATGATTGGCACAATCCATCCCCCTCCCCCCACCGCCACTGCCCAAGTCAGTTACTTATGGGAGTTCACAGGGATGAATCAGCTCCATTTTTCTCTTGAACTTTCTTTATCAAGGCACCTCACCAGACTCATTAGCACAGGGCATGTGTGTATGTGTGTGAATGTATCTCACTTTGTTCCCAGGGCTGCATGCTACCTGTGCTCCAAGTAATACTAATACTGGAGAGAGATAATGGTTAACTTTTATACTATGGGCAAACTACCTTCTAGATGCCATGTTAACACATTGTATGCATTATTTCATTTTCACTTCACAGCATCACAGTAGTTTGGCATAAAGTAGATGCTCAGGTGGGCAGTAGTTTTATCCCTATCTTCAGGCAAGGAACCCGAGGTACAGTGAATTTAAGCAATTTTCCCGAAGTCACCTGGCTGGTAAGTGACAGGGATATAAATGGACTCTGACTCTAGAGCCAATACAGCACGCTGTTCCTCAAAAAGTTTTCACTAACACAGTGGCTTAGTTTATGACTCTACCCCTTGGCCAGGGCCCAAAACCTCCAGCTGTCTGGCAGGACAGATGCTTTATCTTGTCTTATAGTCTGCATTTTATTTCTATATCCTCTTTCTCTTTCAAAAGCATCCAACCCACTATAAATTCCATTGATCTTAGTTCCATAGTTCCAGAATATCTTTTTTTTTTTTGAGATTTTAAACATGTTCATTGTTTTCTTTTTTTAGTGAAGTATAACTAACATTCAGTGTTAGTTTCAGGTGTACAGTGTAATGATTCAATAATTCTATACATTACCCAAAATACCTTTTGAGTCTTTCCATTTGTATCTGGGTTCCACTGCCACCACTCATCATCTAGGCCCCTAGACTAGATTTCTACAGTCTGTACATGCAAATTAGGTGATATTAACTTTAATGCCTACATTAGTTAGGATTAATCTGGAATATCCCCCAAATGGATTCTCCTGCTTTCACACTTCTACCCAAGAGCTGGTTTTCCAAAATCTAACTGCTTTCCAGAGTATAACCATTTAAAAATGCAGACTAGTTTATGTCAATTTGCTGACTAAAATCCCTGCCTAGGGATGCCTGGGTGGCTCAGGTTATGATCCCAGGGTCCTTAGATCAAGTCCCACATGGGACGTCTTGCTCAGTGGGGAGCCTGTTTCTCCCTCTGCCTGCCGCTTCCCCTGCGTGTGTTCTTTCTCTCTCTCTCACACAAATAAATAAATAAATAAAATCTTAAAAAAAAAAAAAATCCCTGCCTGCATCTCTGACATCTCCACCACGCTTGCCTTGCTCACTACCTATGGTCTGGCCACACAGGCCTTTGGTTGTTATCTTGAGTAAGCAGGCTTTCTCCTGCTTCAGGGCCTCTACATTCTAATCCCAACTCCCGTGTTCCCCAGATGTTTGCCTTCATGTCTCCTACTCCTTTATATCTTAGTGTAAATGCTACTTCTTGGCAGTGTATTCCTTGACCATTCTAAAGTATATTTCCACCATCCCTCTCTATTACATCACCTTGTTTCATTTTCTTTAGGATGCTTCTCCATAGTTGACATGGTATTATTTGCTTACTTGTTCATTATCTGAGGTCCTGACAAACACAACTAGAAGGTAAGTTATTGTTCACTGCCTGCAATACCAGAGCCGTTCGAGTATCTAAAGCTTGGTAGATGTTTAACCAGTAATTGTTAAAGAATGAATGAATGAATAAATCTCCCAGGGCATGATGCACAAAATTCTTTCTTGCTCCTTCCACTTCAAAATGAAAAAATTCCAATCAAATAACCTTAAGAAAACGCAACAAACTAACTCTTCCTGACTTCCAATTTCAGCTCAGCAAGCACACTCAGTGAGGTTTATCTGAGATGTTTTTTACATTTCTCTCAGTTGTGATCAGTGACTTACATTGCCTCTACTGCACTAGATAACAGCTGAGGTGGATTTTGGAGGCAGATCACATTCCCAAGGCAGAGACCTTCCAACACTATATCTAGGAGGGTAAAGAAGACACTCTGCTTTCTGGAACCCACTAAACTTTGGCTAGATAACAAATGAGGAAAGAAGGCCACTTACAAGGGAATCTAATAATGTTTTTTTTTTTTATGTGCCAGGCTAGACTTCAAGAACTTTACATATATGAACTTATGACTCTAAATTCTGTGCTAACATTATAACTAATTACAGATGAGGAATCCTAAACATGGGGAAGTGAACATAGCTTGCCCAATATTACATAGATACTAATTTGCCTAATTGGGGTTTGAACTTAAGAAGTTTAGCTCCAGAGTCCACGTTTCTAATTATCACTATAAGTAAGATTTGGAACATGGAAGCTAGAGCACACTTAGAAAAACAGGACTGTAAGAGAAAAAAGTATGTTTTGAAAACCTCTTGGATTACACACATAAGAACATCTTCTTACTTATCAAAAAGCAAATATTAAGCACTCTTAACTTGTGAACTTTATTAGAAACTGTATTTGTTAAAGGTTGAGATTGTGTGTGTGTATACTACTGTTATTTATTCAAGTTTTCATTTTAATTCCAGTTAGTTAAAATACAGTGTTATGGGTGCCTGGGTGGCTCAGTCGGTTAAGCGACTGCCTTCGGCTCAGGTCATGATCCTGGGTTCCGGGGTTTGGTCCCACATCAGGCTCCCTGCTCAGCAGGGAGTCTGCTTCTCCCTCTGACCCTCTTCCCTCTCGTGCTCTCTATCTCTCATTCTCTCTCTCTCAAATAAATAAATAAAATCTTTAAAATACAGTGTTATTTTAGTTTCAGGCATACAATACAGTGATTCAACAATTAAAGGTTACGTTTCATTACAACCAAATTCCAAAGGAAAGACCAAATTCTTCCTAATATCTAGTGTTGCTTGAGAGAGAAATCAGGACCTAATTCTGTGTCCTCTGACTAAATCTTGGGCCCTGCTCTCTGTGCCTCTTTGCCTTATTTTAATCTGTTTTACGACCTTAGGAAGTCATATCACCTCAGAATGTCTTTCTTTCCTCTGTAGGGCCAGTGAAACACAGACTCAGCCCAGTAACTTTGCAACTAATACCTATATGACCTTGGACAAGGTTGATACTACTTCACCAAATTTGTTTCCTCATCTTTAAAAGTTGAGGTAACACCCACAACACAAGGTTATAGGGAGAATTAATAAGAGAAAATATATGAAATGTTTGGCATAAAGTAGATGCTCAAATATCTTTACCCCAATTTTTACAATATATAAAATCTAGCTTTTTCTTAGAAAACAGACTCTACCCTCAGTAGACATACTGACAGACAGATTAGCTAGGAAGTTTCCAGATTCCTTGTTTCCCTAACTATTACTTGAGGGGCTCCTATGCACAAAGTCAAAGTGTCATAAGATATTTCAGTTGGGGCAATGATTGTTGTACATAACTATCTATAGAAAATAGTAAATATTTTAAGTGAGGGACAGTCATGAAAATTCGGAGGAGGAAGAAATTGCTTTCACCACCAAGAGATGGGGCACAGAGTATAGAAAGGATATTTGAGCTAAACATTGAAGAATGTCACTAATAAATAGTATTTCTTTGCATAGCCCACAGACTAACGTAATTACTCTCTCCTCTGTGGTATGCTTCATCAGTTTTCACTACTTTTATTATCAAATTTATATTAGACAGTACTTTCTGTTTCTGTTTCCCACTTATTATGCATTTCTGGATAGCAGAACTATCTTATCCCACTAAATTCTCCAGCACCTGATTAAAGGAACAGCTATAATGAGGAGAGAAATCACAGAAAAGCTGCTTGGCTTTTTTGTTTAGTGTTAACAATGTGGCTGTAGAGTCTGACTTTAACTTTAGGCGCTCTTAGCTCTCGTGACTTTTAGGGTTGACATAAAATACAGAATGCCCAGTTGAGTTTGACTTACAGATAAACAAGGAATCGTTTTTTAGTATAATTATGCCCCACGCAGTATTTAGGGGGCACACTTCTAAGAAAATATTTTTTGTTGTTTATCTGAAATTTCGGATTTAACTGGGCACTCCGTCCTTTTGCTAGATCTGATAATCCTTGTGACTTTTCTGATCTTGTTATCTGGAAATGGGCGTGAAAATAGTACCTTCTTAAGATAATCAATATAAAGAATATCTCACACAGGTAAACCCTTACTTAACCTTCCAAATCAGAACACTTTTGTAGACCTACGCCAAAACTCAGGGACAATGGCCCTGAGCTCACAATACAGTTACTCTTACTAGTTGGTTTTCAACGCAGTGCAGAGAAAGTTCCATAGAACTCTGAACAAAGCTGTAAAGTGCTTTGAGGATTTGCAAATTTCCCTTCAACCTAATAAGGGTGTTTAGCAAAGTAATTCCAGGCGGAAAAGGGATTTCCCTTAGTTACCGGGAAAGCGTGGGCTGTGTCTCTGCGCACGCGCACAAGGGCTCCGGCGTCTCCACGCCCGGCCCCCGCCCCACCCGAGAGAGTCACGTGGGTGAGCCGTCGCTCTAGAGGCGCCACCGGGCCTTGTCATGTGACCGAGGTTCCTGCTTCGTACTAGGATGGAGCCGGAAGAGGGGACGCCCTTGTGGCAGCTGCAGAAGCTTCCAGCCGAGCTGGGCCCGCAGGTGAGGAGAGCGCAGGCGGCGTAGCAGGCGGGGCTCTGGCACAGCCCGGCCTGCAGGTCCGGCCCGGTCTGATCGAGATGTCTTCGCTGGGCTCACCCCGGCTGCCCAGGGCAGGGACGGGGAATGGGCGTGATGTCGGGGTCCGGCCCCCTTCGTCCCCTGGAGAGCTGAGGAGGCCGAGGCTTTTGGCGCCACCTCCGCGCCCCTGCTTGGAGCTGCCCCTCGAGGGGCTTTTCGAGCTGACTTGCGGCCGGCCAAGCTCGCACCCGGGTGGGGTCGGCCCGTCAGCTCCCAAGCGCGGCTTGGTGACTGGGCTGGGGAGCGAAGTCGCCACCATAGTATTTGAAATCTTACAACGTGGAGCCAGTGGTTTGCAGCCTCTCCTTCATTCGTACAGTACACACCTTCACCGTCCCTGTGCACCAGGCACAGTGCTAGGTGCTGGGGACAAGCTGGTGACCTAGAGAAGTATACCCTGCCCCCTTGAGGGCGACAGAAAAAAAATTGGTAAGTGCTTCCAGTAACTGGGCGACTTACTTTAGGTCGCGTGGTATAAGGTAGGCTTTCCCTCAAGAGGTGGCATATAGGGGCACCTGGGTGGCTCAGTTGGTTAAGCGACTGCCTTCGGCTCAGGTCATGATCCCAGGATCCTGGGATCGAGCCCCGCATCGGGCTTCCTGCTCAGCGGGAAGCCTGCTTCTCCCTCTCCCACTCCCCCTGCTTGTGTTCCCTCTCTCTCTGTCTCTCTCTCTCTCTGTCAATTAAATAAATAAAATCTTTAAAAAAAAAAAAAGAGGTGGCATATACTTTGACACCCGGAGCCTGGGAAGGACCTTGGCCGTGAGGATCTGGGAAAAGCAGCTTTGTTCATTCATCCGGCCAGCTTTGCACGGAAGTTTGCCTTGTGCTGAGTGCCCATATGGTATAAGGTGAAATGGTGAATGAGATACAGCCTGTGCCCCTGTGGAGCTTGCTATCTAATAAGGAAACCAAACTGAATTAACCAGTAATGAGCTTGCGGGACAGGTAGCACCCCAGATTCGAGGGGGCAAGGAGAGGCTTTGCAGAAAAGAAACACCTAAATTTCTAGGTTGAGTTCTGAAGGCTGAGTAGGAACCAGTCTAGAAGGAAGAGTGTTTTAGGCAGGGGAATAGCAGCTACAAGGCTAGAGGAAGGAAACCAGCCTCCACAGGTTTCAGGACCTGCTGTAATTTTTAGAGGCTGAAATTTAAGTGAGCAGAGCAGGGAGAGTAAGGCTAGACAGTTTAGTAGGAAGTCAGGTGGCGCCAGTCTTTATATGCCTTGCTTGTGTGTTTAGCCGCAGTACCAAAGGCACTGGCAGTTTTGAGTTTGAAAAATCAAATGTGGAGACAGTAATTACATCTAATAAGTATCTTGACTGAATTGTGAAAGGAAAAGAAAACCCAGTGGTTGCTGTAAGAGAAAAATCTGACTGAGAAGTGGGTTTTTCCCCCCTTGAAAAGAAGGAAAGACCTGAAGGAAATTTGCCTGTCCCTAAAAGAAAGCAGTATGTGCAAAATTGAGCTTCATTATTAGCTCTGGGAGCTGTGGTTCTGTTTGTCTTCAGAAGTCAGTCTACTAATTCATTGTATTGTAATTAATACATAAATATGTTTACTCCTCCTCTGTCCCACAACAATTCAGGTCTCATCACACAACTTCTTGACTGGTTGGCTTGCCTCTGGTCTCTTTTATTCTGAACTCCTTTCCGGTAGATACTTTATCTTTAGTTCTGGAGAGTTGTGTCTGGCTCAAGGTGGATTCTTAATCAGTATTCACTGAGGGAAGGAATTAATGCATATTAAAATCTGCTCAACCATGGGGCAGTTACTGGATGCCAAGCTTTGGTGGGCTGGCCTTCAGTGTCAGTGATAGGCATCACTGAGTAAGTCCCAATTCTGTTCCATTCACAATGGGTGAAGGGTGGGATTGGGGGCTTCGCCTACGTAATGTGATAGAGGGGTATGTGGTAGGCAGCTTTTATAAGCCCCACATTTAGGTCTTCTTTTTTCCTTTATTCCATTTACAGTGGGAAAGTGTGGGGGAGATAGAGGAGAAAAGACTTACTTAATTCTTATCAGGATCAAAAAAACCTGTCTTAACTCTTTTCTATGATTTTACCAGTGCGGAAACGGAAATGTCAGCAGAGTTTGAGTAATGTGCCTGAGGTGTCAAAACTAGTAAGTGGTAAAGGTGGAACATGTGTTCAGATCTGTTGACCGTGAGTCTTTGTATTAGCCTTCTGCCCTTGTCTTCATTCTACCTACTTCTTAGGTAAGGCCCATAACCTTTCCCACCATGTAGGGTGATCACACCTAGGTCTCTGCATCCAGCCAAAGATCTCATCCCTGAGTGTCAGGCTTCTGCTGAGACACACCCCAGGTATCTCAAATTCAGTGTGTCCTTGGCTGAACTACTCGTTTTTCCCCCCAGAACTACTCTTCCTGTGGTTGTAGCTTCATTTTTGATTTAGGGCACCACCATTTACTCAGCCACTCAACCTAAAATCTGAGTATCATCCTTGGTTCCTCCTCCTTTTCACATCTCTTTTACCTCTGTAGTGGCTCCATTTTGAGTGTCCTCAATTATTTAGGCCCCCCCTGATTTCTTCCTGGTAAACTGAGGGCAGGGGGCCTTTGGTCTCACCATCTCTCTTTTCCTTTTCTTTCCTTTTATCTCCCAACTTGTTAGCAAATTTATGGAAAAATAATGCAAATACGTGAATAGGTTGCTTCCCTGTGGAAATAATTAAAGAGCCTAGACACTGCAAACAGGGCCTTTTATGATTTGGCCTCCACTCACCTCTCCAGTCTTATATCCTGTCTTTTTTCAAATTGAACAAGTGATTTTACACTTCCATTCTGTGCATATGCTGTTGCTTGTGACTAGGAATGCCCTTCTCTTCTGTTTCGATGGCCAGCTACTTGTCCTTTTAAAACAGCCCTTTCCTGCTTCCTCTCTGTGTTCCTTTGTATCTTCTGTAAACTTATAACATAGCTCCAATCATTCTGAATTGCATTTATGTATTTGTATGTTTGTCTTTCTCTAGTGGACTAAAGCTCTGATATGGTAGAAACTTAATCTTGTTTATCTTCAGTTTCTCATTTGTAAAATGGGGATAATAACAGTACTTACCTCATGGGGTTGTAGTGAGGATGAGCACAGTGCTTGGTACTCAGTTCGGGCTCCATAAATGGTAGTTATTATGGATGTTTTTGCTTTGTATTTCCATTAACTTGTTTAACAATTGGATAAGGTGCTCATTACATATTTGAATATATGAATACAAACATTTATAAATGAATGGATAAATGAATGAATAAAAACATTTACATCCCAAAAGATAGCACTTTTATTTTTTAGTTAAGAGTTCTGGGTTTTGCTTTAGCCTGGGGGCAGTTTGGGATAAGACGGGATATGTGTAGAGAATTTTGAATGAATTTCAAATTGAGAATGTTTGTTGACTTATGGTAAATAAAAAGTCTGTTCACATAGTACATTAGCCATCATTTGGAAGCGGGGTTACCAGTTTCTCATTTCTATTCTGATATGTGTGGTGTTATAGAGAAAGAGTTATTGCTTAAAATGCAGTAGAATATGGTTCAGGGGGAAAGAGTTGGAAGACTTGTTGCTTAAATTCATTTCCAAATTATTTGGATTCAGATACTCTTTTTACAGGACACAAATATTCCCTGGGAAAGAAAACCATATTAATCATTTATCTAGTATAGTGCTGGCATAGTAGGCACTCACTTAATGTATGTTAAAGACATGGAACATAATACCAGTAGTAGTAGTGGTGGTGGTAGTGGTGGTAATAGTGATAATAATAATAATAAGAAGTATGACAGTGGCTAGCAATGTTTGTGTTTTATACATGCCAGGAATGTGCCAAGTAAATTTGCATGTACTCATTTAATCCTTACAACCTTATGGGGGTAGATGATATTTTCATTTTATACATGAGGAAACAGGCACAGAACATTTAAATAACTTGATAAAACTAGTTAAGTGGTGGAACTAGGATTCAAACTAGACAGTTTTATTCCAAAATTCAGTGTTAATAACTATGTTCAGTTATATATGTGTTAGGACTTCCATTGCTGATGCTAAGGTAGGGTAGAGATAAAGGAATGTAAAAAAGTAAAAGAAAGGTACTGACCGCTTTCTTGGAGTGGACCAAAAGAAGTGAGTATGAATGCTGTGAAAATGGAAGTAAAGGGAAATGAAGTTTGTCGATCTATGGTAAAAAATACCTTTAGTCTAAAAGTCATACTTTTTTTAGATTATTGATATAAATACAATGTCTAAGTAATACCAAGGTGAAACCTCTATATTCACCATCTTCCTTTCATGAATATTGGGGAAACAATAGTGTATCTATGAAATTATTTTAGCTCCTGAAGGTGGACAAAATTATAGAAAGTCTGGGGTTTTTATTGGAGCTTTAATTTTTAATTAATGAGAATAATGTTAAAAATAGTTATATTTCAACCTCAGCTGCTTTTGTAGATAACATGAGCTTGTCGCAACTATATTTGTTTCCTACAAGGAAGATAAATCTTTTTTATAAGTTTACTTATAATTCATTTATTTCCTTTTCTCTCTAGCTTCTTCACAAAATAATTGATGGCATTTGTGGCCGAGCTTATCCTCTCCACCAGGATTATCACAGTGTTTGGGATTCAACAGAATGGAAGAATGTTCTAGAAGATATTACCAAATTTTTCAAAGCTGTAGTTGGTAAAAATTTATCTGATGAAGAGGTAACTTCACTCCAATTTTCTGTACCTTATAATAAATAATAAATTGTTTTCAGGTTTTTCTTAAGTTGGTCTTTAGGGCACTATATTATACAAGAGCCATCATCAGTAATACACACGCACACACACACACACACACACATATATACACTTTTTTTTAAAGATTTTATTTATTTGAGAGAGAGAACATGAAAGATCAGGAATGGGGGTGGGGGTGGGGGAGGGAAAGGGTAGAGGGAGAGGGAGAAGCAGACTCCCGGTTGAGCAGGTTGAGCAGGTTGAGCAGGGAGCCTGATTCGGCTGAATCCCAGGACCCTGGGATCATGCAAAGGCAGATGCTTAACTGACTGAGCCACCCAGGCGACCCCAATAAGTATATATTATATTACAACAAAAACCTCATAATTGTGAGTAGGCAAATCTGATTGTGGAAGTTCTTATTTTTTATAGTTTTGGTTGTTTGTGTTTTTAAAATTGTGACATTTAAATCATGTAGAAGAAAACTAAAAGTTATATAACTGACAACCTGCACTCGCATTATCACAATTAAACAGTTGTTAACATCTTTATGCATTATAGGTTTGTGTGTTTGTTTTAGACACAAGACATTATAGATACACGTAAATACCACCTCGGCATGCCACCCTTCCCCAAGAGATCACCACTTGTGAAGTTGGTGTACATGTTTTGTAGTCTATATTGTATGAATATTTATATTGTAAGCAATATATATAATTATTTGAGCTAAACATGTAACTTGTGAATGATAACATGTATCCCTTTGTAATTTTTTATGGAATGTTGTGTTTTAGACTTATCAGTGTTGGTAAATGTGGATCTGGTTCATGTATTTTAACTCTTACAGTATTTGATGGTAGGAATTAGCAGGACTTATTTTTCCGGCCCCCTCCTGATGAACTATTAGATCATTGCCTCTTTAATGTATAGTACTTCTACAAATATTTTGTACATGTCTCCTTGTCCACATATTAGCCAACTTTTCTTGGATAGACATCTTGACATGAAATTATAGGGTCATGGAGTATCCTTCCATTGAATTGCTTTTGTACTTTGGTCAAAAATTATTTTGGCATGTTTGTATAGGTTGCCTACTTTAAAAAAAATGTAGTTATATATGTTCATTTTGATTTGGATGATATTCTGCGTGGGAGTTCTTTGTTAGATATATGTATTTTAAATATCTTCTCTCATATGGCTTGCCTTTTCACTCTTAATGGTGTCTTTTTTGTGAACAGAAGCTCTGAATTTTAATCAAGTCCAGCTTTGTCAATATTTCTTTTGGTGGTTAGTGCTATTAAAGTCATGTTTAAGAAATATTTGTGCCAAAGTCATGAAGATGTGTTTGTTAGTTTTCTTGTAGAGGTTCTCACTTTTATGTTACTGATGCATTTTGAATTAATATTTGTGTGTGGAGTAAGGGTCGAGTTCACATTTTTTCACATCAATAGCCAACTGACCCAGTAGCGTTTATTGAAATGACCGTCCTTGGTCCCATAGGATTTCTGTGCAGCCTTTGTTGTAAATCAGGTCACTGTATATGTATGTATCTGGACTTTTTTTTAAGATTTTATTTATTTATTTGACAGTGCGAGAGAGAGAGCGCTCACAGACGGGGGTGCAGGAGAGGGAGAAGCAGGCTCCCCACTGAGCAGGGAGCCCAATGTGGGGCTTGATCCCAGGACGCTGGGATCATGACCTGAGCCGAAGGCAGACATTTAACCGACTGAGCCACCCAGGTGCCCCTGTATCTGGACTCTTAATTCTGCTCCATTGTCTATATTTTTCAGTACTACGCTGTCTTAATTACTGTAGAATTAAAGCTATGTTACATAAAGTCTTGATATCTGGCAGTAGAAGACCTTTAACTTCATGCTTCTCCAAGATTGCTTTGGCTATTCTAGGTCCTCTGTATTTTCATGTACATTTTAAAATCAGCTTGTCAATTTCAACCAAAAAACCTGATGGGCTGCTATACCAAAATACTATACACTGGGCAGCTTAAACAACAAGAATTTATTTCTCACAATACTAGAGGCTGGTGTGTCCAAGATAAAGGTGCTGACTGATTTGATTCCCTGTTGAGGGGAATTCCCTGGCTGCGGCCTACCTTCTTGTTGTGTTTCTCACATTGGTGAGGGGAGAGGGACAGAAGCCATGCTCTCTTGTGTCTCTTTTTATAAGGGCACTAATCCTATCAAGAGGGCTCCAACTCTTATGACCTATTAAACCTAATTACTTCTTAGAGGCCCCATCTTTAAATATTATCACAATGAAGGTTAGGATTGCAACATAGGAATTTTAGGGTGACATACTTAAGTTCATTGCGTGGGGATTGCACTGAATCTCTAGATCATTTTGGGAAAAATTTACAGCTTAATATTAATCCTCCCAATCCATGAACATGGTATAACATTCCATTTGTTTGGATGACTTCAATTTCTCCAACATTTTGTAGTTTTTAATATAGAGGTCTTGGAAATATTTTGTTAGATTTATTTCTAAGTAATTGATATTTTTGATGTTTTTAAATTTTGTTCTCCAATTGTTTATTGCTAGTATGTAGAAACACCGCCAATTTTATATCTTTACCCCATGCTTAATAGTCTTTAAAAATTTTATTTGATGGCTTATAAAATGGTTTTTTTTGGATTTTTTTTGGTATACAATTATTTTCTTGTTAAATTTTAATATCTTTTTTTCCCTTACCTTATTGCACTGGCTAGCATCTTTAAAACAGTGTTGGAAAAAAAAATCAGTCTTATTCCTGACCTTAGGGAGAATGTATTCACTATTTTATCATTTATTGTGTTGGCTGTATGATTTTCTGGATATCGACTATCAGATTAAAGAAGTTTCCTACAGTTCCTACTTTACTGAGAATTGTTATCATTAATAGGTATTGAATTATCTTTAAATACTCTTTCCCTAAATTTGTTATTTTGTTCTCCTTTATTTTGTTGATGTGTCTTTCATTGGATTTTTAAATGCTAAACTAACCTTGCATTGCCAAAATAAATGCGACTTGGTCATGATGTATTATCTTTTTATGTATCTCTAAATTTGATTTGCCAGTATTTTATTTAGGATTTTTGCATCTGTTCTTGTGTGATATTGGCTCATAGTTTTTCTTTTCTGTAATGTCCTTGTCAGGATGTCAAGTTTTATTCTGGTCTAATAAAATGAATTAGGAAGTATTTTTTCTCTTATTCTCTGGAAGAGTTTAAGATTGATTTTATTTCTTTCATAGTACTATGTTACTATGTTGTATAATTTTCAAATATTTGGAATTTTTTATCAGTTATGATTTAATTACACCATGGTAAAAAAATATAAATAGTTTGATTTCAGTCCTTTGAAATCTGTTGTGATTTGCTACATGGCTCATCATATGGTTCAATTTGGTGAATGATCCATATATTTTTGAAAATAATATGTATTCTGTAGTTGTTGAACACAATGTTCTATATGTCAGGTTTAAGGAAGATAGTGTTTTTCAGTTCTTTATCTTTACTGATTTTTTTTGTCTTTTTCTGTCAGTCACTGGGAGATGTGTCAACATTCTAATTATGAAGGTAGATTTATCCATTTCTCCTTTTAGTTCTGCCAAGTTGTGTTGTTTTATATATTTTGAATATATATTAGTTGCACACAAGTTAATGATTGTTCTTTCAGTTGAATGGCCCTTGGGCCTTCTTTATTTCTCATAATACTTCTTGCCTTAAAGGCTACACTGTCTGATATTAAAATAACTATACCAGCTTTAGTGGTCTTTGCTTCCATGCTACTTAATCACTCAGTCCTTTTCATTTCTGTTTTGCAAAAATTTGTTAAAATCTCTTGTTTGGGGGAGCCTGGGTGGCTCAGTCATTAAGCATCTGCCTTCGGCTCAGGTCACGATTCCAGGGTCCTGGGATCAAGCCCCACATCGGGCTCCCTGCTCAGCAGGAGGCCTGCTTCTCCTTCTCTCACTCGCTTTGCTTGTGTTCCTTCTCTCGCTGTGTCTCTCTCTGTCAAATAAATAAATAAAATCTTAAAAAAAAATCTCTTGTTAGTTATGCATTCTCGTTCTTTTCATAGAGACAGAAATATATATTTTTTTAACTGTCATTTTAAAGGTTTTATGAAAGGGGAGTGGAGCTGTGTGTTTACATTTTAACAGAAAGACCCTTTCACTTATTTTCTGTTTATTTTTATTTTCGTAGATATTTCAGCAGTTGAATCAGTTGAATTCATTTCATCAACAAGCTATCATGAAATGCTTGAAAAGTAGGAAAGATGAAATCAAGCAGGCTCTGTTAGAAGAAATAGTTGATATTTCTTCTGCACAGCTACAGGATTTTGATTGGCAGTTAAAGGTGAGAATCTATTTATGGGCATGTATTTTTTTATCTCATTTTTTGAATAGAAATGTTTATTCTTCATAATATACATCTAAAATTTCTGTTATTTTAAGAATACATTGTCAAAAAATTGTATTTTTACATTAACTTAGTACAAACATCCACATAATATGTAAAAACATTACATTGATAATTTAATTAACTAGAGCTGTGAATCATTAAATGTCTTAAGTAGTGGAGTAGTATGTATTCAACATCTATTTTTGGCTAGAACTTTCTAGACTTTATAGTCTTCCTGAGATTGGTAAATACGATTCTACCTCCAGGGGGAAAATCTATAATGTGCTATTAAAAGAGCACTTAAAAAACATTTTGAAAAGAGACTCATGATCAGTAGCAATGGGTAGTTCTAATTCTGTTTTCATTCATTAAATCTTTTTAGTTAATTTAGTAGTAATTTTACTTTTGGCTGCCAAATATAAGAGATACTTAAATTGGAGCCAAACCAAAAAAGAATGAACAGGAACTTGAAATCGTGGTACATGAAGGTTTTTTGAAACACTTGAGACCATCTATCCAGAAAAGAAAAACTTTATTAGAAAAATTATAGTTATCTCCAAAGGACTAAAAGTCATCTGTATGGATGAGGGAATTGATACATGCTTTGTGGCTTCAGAGGCTAGGACAAAGGGTAAGGTCTCAGGTATATAGTTTGCAATAAGATGAGTTCATGTTCAACTTAAGGAGAACTCTTTTACACCTGTCAGTATCTGAAGATTATTTTAACCTCTTCTTGAGGCAGCATGTTCATCATTGGTCATATTCAAACAGACTGAGAAAGCAGTTACTGGAGACACTGAGGAGGAGAATTATCGATAAGATAGACCATCTTTGATACTTCCAAATCTCGGATATTATGAGTCCTGGTTTTTTAAGAGAGAATGAAGGAGGTATGTGAGGATTCAATTCTGTAGTGTGTGCACTCTGAGGATGTTTGTTAGGGAAGTAGTTCCTTACCAATCACTGTACAAGTAATGAATGGTACAAGTAAATTTTTGCAAGTAGTAACACTTTGAAGATTCAGGTATTGTGGAGTTTTTTAGCTCAGATTCCAGGAAAATTGATTTTCCCTTTGCCATCTGCCAATGAAGCTGTGGTGCTTGTTTCAAAAGTTATTAATATCATAAATATTTGGTTCTTCTGTTTCCTCTAGGATTCTCTTTAAACAGAAAATAGGAAGTGGAGTAAATGTTGAGTGTTTTTGCTGAGTGGCTCTAATTGAAAGTGGTATCTTGATAACATGTTTATCAATAATTTAGTAGAGAATTGGCTGATTATAAATTAAGTATCTTCATTGCACAGGGTTTACCAGTGTTTTTAGTTTTATCTTTGTACATGGACTTCATCCTCTTGGTATCTTCACAGTTCGTTAAGCTTTAAGAAGTCTTGGTTTCGTGATGCACTGGACCCATTCAGCACTTCCTTTCTCAGCCATGACTCTGCTCTGGACTTTCTGCTTCTACCACAAACTTTGGACTGTTTGTCCTTTTTTCCCTCGTCGTCTTCCTCTCTGTCATCCTCCTTTCTCAGTCTGTTCTTCATATATGTGTTTGTTTGGCATGGGTTTCTTTATCTCTTCCACCTTTTCCTGTACTTGACAGCAAACAGGAGTATTCTTAAGATGTATTGTTAATAAGCTCTGATGCATATTTAATGTAGTCTTTTTTACTACTTATTAATTACTATTTTCCTCATTTTAAACAGCTTGCACTGTCTAGTGACAAGATTGCTACATTACAAATGCCACTTTTAAACCTTCATCTAGACATAAAAGAAAATGGTGAAGTCAAACCATATTCTGTTGAAATGAGTAAAGAAGAGCTGCAGAATCTAATAAATTCCTTGGAGGCAGCTAATAAGGTATTTGTTTTAATTTTGTTGTGTGTTTTAAAATGTTTAAGTTTTGATTGATACCCTTAGAACAATAGAAGAAAAACTCATAATTGGCTTTTCATATTTCTTTTATTCCTGATATTTTATGTTAAGCACAGAAAATACCTTGTTATGTTCTGCATCTCTAGTTTTAGATATTTAATTATAACTTGTAATTTTAACGACTTAGTTTTGAGCATAATTTATCAAGTAGTTATTTTTGATAGAATAATAGTGCTCTTCTAACAGCTAGATTTTTTTGCCTCAGTCCTCATTAATGATAAAAATAAAATTTTTACTTAAAAAAAAATAAAACTTTTACCTTGGGGCTATGAAATTAGTTGATCCTGAAGTGTTTTTATGATTATTATGTCATAAAGAAAAGAGTGTCTTATTTAAATGCACAGATAAGGGGCGCCTGAGTGGCTCAGTTGGTTAAACGTCTGCCTTTGGCTTGGGTCATGATCCCAGGGTCCTGGAATCGAGCCCCACATCGGGCTCCCTGCTCAGTGGGGAGCCTGCTTCTCCCTCTGCCGCTCCCCCTGCTTGTGCTCTCTCTCTCTCTCTCTCTCTCTGTCAAATAAATAAAATCTTTTAAAAAAAGAAGTTTTAACTGCACAAATAGAATTGCTTTTATAATCCTCTAAGTACAGGAGACAAAATATGGCTTGTAGTTATGACAAAATCAGGTAAAACTAATGAGTGACTAAAAATTTTATATAAAGGATTGACTAAATAACAGGAACCATTCTCAGTGTTTATTTAATGAGAAAAATCATATTTAAACAATAGAAACTGCTGCTGTCAGAAAGAAATAAAAATAACTGTCTCTGTATACGTGTTTTCCTTTCATGATTGCTTAGCATTGGGTGCCTGGGTGGCTCAGTCTGTTAGGCGTCTGCCTTAGGCTCGGGTCATGATCCCAGAGTCCTGGGATCGAGTCCTGCATTGGGCTCCCTGCTCCGCGGGAAGTCTGCTTCTCCCTCTCCCTCTGCCTGCCGCTCCCCCTGCTTGTGCTCTCTCTATCTCTGTCAAATAAATAAATAAAATTTAAAAAAGAAAAGATTTCTCAGCATTTGTTCTAGTAATCTGTTCTCCAGTGATCAATGTCAGATATTCTAACCAACTTCTCTTGCCCCTGACCAACCTTCTTGGCTCTACCTTTTTTTTTTTTTTAAGTAGTCTCCATGCCCAGCGTGGAGCCCAGTGCGGGGCCTGAACTCACGACCCTGGGATCAAGACCTGAGCTGAAATCAAGAGTCAGATGCTTAACTGACTGAGCCACCCAGGCGCCCCGGCTCTATCTTTTTTTTTTTCTTTTAGATTTTATTTATTTATGTATTTACTTTGAAAGAGAGAGAGCGCAGGGCACGTGTGAGTGCATGAGCAGGGGGGCGTGGCAGAGGGAGGGGGAGAAGCAGACTCCCTGCTGAGCGGGGATTTTTTTCCCAATGCAGGACTCCATCCCAGGACTCTGGGATCATGATCTGAGCCAAAGGCAGATGCTCAACCGACTGGGCCACCCAGGTGCCCCCCGGCTCTGCCTTTTTGAAACCCTGGTATATTCAGCTTCCGTCCGTATTCTGCAGTTACTCAGTCATTTTAGTGCCATGATGATTGGTCCACATGCCTAGTAGTCACACTGGTAGCCTGGCTTGCTTTTGCATGGGGCTCAGTGTCTTAGGGAGTGTGTGGTAGAGCCTCATGTAAATGTTAATTGAGTCTGAACCATGGATCCCGGCAGGCATGCATCATCAGTTACTGTGCATTGTACTTGCTTGTTATCAGTTCTGTCTTCAGAGATTTCAGAGCATTTCATTAAGCAGATACGGGCATCATTGTGGAATAACCTGATTCCCATCCCCCACCCCCGACTTTGTGTTTTAAGGTGGTCCTGCAGTTGAAGTAACCAACACTCTGAGATTCTACTGCTACCCCAGATGCGGCCAAGTGAATACTGTGCGTTCAGAATACCTGCGCTATACTGACTGTTTTGCTCTGCTGAGAACGCAGCATGTTGGGCTTACAGAGATGAAAATGTATCCGCTTCCCTGCAGAACAGGAAATGACATGGTCGACAGGAAATGCATAAAAAATGAAAGATGAAAAAGCTCTAATAGCAGTTTATATTTTCATAATGGCTGTTTTGCCTCATTTATTAAATATTTGAGAAATCTTTATAGATATACAGTTTTATTGAAAGCTAAAAATAGGCTCTAAAGTAATGTAAACGTACAAAGCACAAATCTACTTGAATGTTGCTTAAAGGAATATATGAATCACAAGGGTGTATATTCTGGGTATATATGATTAATTTGTAGTATTTTAAAAAATAGCTTTTAAAGAATGTGTAAGCTGCATATGTAACTCAGGAGATTGCATATCTTTGTTTCAAAGGAAAGATTATAAAATATAAAATTTCTTAGAGAAAGAAGCTCCTCTTCAGACATGAACAAGAAAAAAATACTTAAAATTGTGTCAACAGTTTTGAGTTTATGAATTCTAGAGATTAAAATCTTTTACACGGGTGGGAAAAAATGAAAGTAACACTGTTACTTCTGCATTTCTCTGTCTGATCGGGAGGCTGTGCTTTGTTAAAAAGGATAGATGTCATTGTATTGTGTATATATAACTCTTCGGGTATCAGCTGAGATTAAATTTAGGTCCATTTTTGTTATAGACTTTTAATATTGAAGTTAATAGTTTTGGGTGTTAACTTCACTGGAAAACAAACCATTTTTAATTTCAGTTAACTAAAAACGCATTCTGAACAAATAAAAAATGTCATTTTACTTTTACATATTGCTTTATTTCAAAAGACTTTCTACATAATGCAGTGACCCATAATTAATTGGTACCTGCTGTTTGCAAGCTTAATTGCTCTTTAGAGCATCAGACTATTATCTGAGGTGTTCAGAACGGGTGCTACTATTTCTCATCATAGAGATGAAGATAGGCTTTGAGAACTAAAAAAAAAAAATACCTGCTCGTGATCTAGGCAGTGCTACTCAAAATGTGTCTGTAGACTAATGCCAGTCTGTGGTCTGTGGACTGTTTGTTACAGGTCAGGGATTAGATGAGGAGCGTATGCCAGAGTGTTCATCAATATATTGCTTTTCTCATTGAGAGATGTTGATTATGGAAAAAATATCAGCTGAACAAAACAGTGTGCTTAGGGAGGTCGTTGACTTACTCCCTGTGCAAGTTCCTTATGTCACGGAGCAGTAGCAGTTTGCAGGCGAGCACTTTAAATAATGCAGATGATTGCTGATATACGATGGTTTGACTTGAGATTTTTTGACTTTACTATGGTGCTAAAACAACCTGCATTCAGTAGAAACCATACTTTGAATTTTGATTTTTTTTTTTTTAACACATTTTGAATTTTGATCTTTTCCTGGGCCAGCAATATGCAGTCCAACACTCTTTTTTGATGTTGGGCAGCGGCAGCCCCACAGCTACCAGGCAGCCATGCGGTCACAAGTAAACAGCTGATATCCTGACAACCATCCTTTACCCAGACAACCATTCTGTTTTTCACTTTCAGTATAGTATTCAGTAAATTACATGAGGTATTCAACACTTTATTAAAAAATAGGCTTTGTAATTGCACTACTGGGTATTTACCACAAAGATACAAATGTAGGGGTCCGAAGGGGTACGTGCACCCCAATGTTTATAGCAGCAATGTCCACAATAGCCAAACTGGAAAGAGCCAAGATGTCCATCGACAGATG